TGTGCTCAAAAATTGACCGATCTTCTTGAGTGTTCGCAAAAAACAAGAATCACCAGATCCTCCGCCGTCCTTCTCATGCAGAACCAAGAGACCCCTCAGAATGTCACGGGTTTTCTTTGCAAACACCTGTCAAGAGCAGCAAAGCCGGATCCTGATCAGTTGCAGCTATAAAATCCGTTTCAAAGAGCCTCTCTCAGGAGCGAACAATTTCATGATCGCATGGTCTCCCGCATATGAGCGTTGTGCTTGGATTCCAACTCTGAATTTAATTCTATTGTGGTTGCTGAAAACGCGGTCGCTGCCATTGTCACGACTTCATGATGTAGTGACAAACAGGAATGACCCGTGACATACACTGGATTCCGGTTTAAGAATCATAGAAGAGTTTGCCTAGTCACCGCTTGTGAACTTGTTTTCCGTTATCGCAAGCAATTTTCAAGATCTTAGAATACTTCTCCTAAAAAAGGTAAAATCACTCTCATCTGGAAGAAGTGGCATGTTATCTATCTACTGGACATGTTTTCAGTATTCCAACACCACTTCTGATGAATTGCGATAACAAAAAAGTACAATCTTTCTTCTTCATTCTTTGATCATGTTTCGCTCCAACCTTTTTATATGGATTACTCTAACTAATTATTATTTAGCGTTCAAATGTGAGATACGTAATAGTAGCGCTCCCATCTCACATTTAGATCATTCTCGTATGCAAACATTGCCTGCGACGCGCGTAGCGAGTGTGTTCGCGCTTTCTCATCCCGATCGGATTGAGATCCATGCGAAACTATGGCCACACCCTGTCGTTCATCTCCGCAAGAGTTCTTTTGAGTATAGTTTCCCTTATTAAGGCTCGTTTAGCTACGGTTCGCATGCTCAGCTTGCTGCCTCACGCTTGACAAGGTTTATCTCAAGCAGTCATCCTGAGCTTATGGAGTAAAGGATTTAAAAGGAGCGAAAGGCAACGAGCTGAGGCACGATGGGGAGATGTAAGGAAATCGCTGAGCAGAAACGATAGACTAAAGTACCTGCTATCAAAAGTATTTGACTGGCCTATCCGGCCCTCTATAACTGTAACAAGATCACAAAAAACAGTACAGATTTTGTTGTTTGCTGAAAGAGTCATTTGTCACCTTATGACTGTCATGACAACATAACAGCATTCGAAAATTGGTAGATTTTATGTACACATGTTTTGTGTGTGTACATTTTTTTGAAAAATTATATTTATCGTCTCATATATCACTTTTGGGAATCGCCCAACGGAACGACTCACGCGGAGATCGACCACATTCTCACCAACCGAAGGTGGAGCTTGCTCGATATCTCAGTAGTTCCATCCTTCTGCACTGGCTCCGATCACCGCCTCCTTCGAGCGAAGATACGACTCAGCCGAAGGCTGGAAAAGAAAGTCTGTCACAGTGCCGCGAGAAGGAAGGAAGTCGTTTATGACGGTAACAGGCTGGAGGAGCTCATATCAAGATGTGACTGGCCTATCGAGGAGGACCCAACGTACGACTACGACCGGCTTCTGAAAGGATTGCGAGCCTGTGGAGAGTGCGCCTCAGTGACTTCTGAGAAGAACTTGGAACGTATTTCGAAGACCACCAAGGAATTGCTCGAAAGAAGAAGATTTCTGAGGCAGGATCCGAATGCAACCCATCTCGAGCGACTGATAGCCAACGCCAGTTGCAGAACAGCTATGCAGGAGGATCTCAGGAAGTACAGGCAAGCCAAGATACTGGAAGCAGCCGAAGGAAGACGAAGTCTTAAGAAATGCGAAGGGACCTCTGTGAATATCACGTACCGCTGGCTGCACTATTGAACGAAGACGGGACTCCGACTTCTTCCCGATACAAGATGGAATCTATCGCGAAGAACTTCTATACCAACCTCTTCCGCTCATCAACACTCGTGCCGACGCCCGTTGTTCCCACTGGAGAAGCACCACCACGAATTCTACCTGCTGAAGTGCGCACGGCGATTCAGACCATGAAGACATCCACGGCTCCAGGACCAGACCATCTTTCCGTCGAATTTCTGCGAGCCGGAGGACAACGTCTGCATGAGATCCTCGCGTCGCACCTGACATCTTACCTTCAGAAGGAGAGGATTTCCGACCAGTGGAGAACGTCAAGAACCGTCCTTCTTTTTAAGAAGGGTGAACGGGAAGATCTTCGAAATTACCGTCCAATATGCCTGCTGAGTGTGCTGTACAAGCTCTTCACGAAGATTATCCTCGCACGCATATCTAGGACACTGGATGAAGCCCAACCCCAAGAACAAGCTGGATTTCGCAAAGGATTCAGCTGCATGGACCACATCCAGACGGTTTCGAGGGTCATAGAAGTCTGCTGAAAGTACCGACTGCCTCTCGTCCTAACCTTCGTCGACTACGAGAAAGCCTTTGACAGCGTCGAAACCAACGCCATCCTGTCTGCGTTAGTCGATCAAGGAGTGGAACCAGCTTACGTGAGGACACTAGCCGACTGCTACAAGGACTGTACAACAACGATGCAGCTGTTCCATCGCCCCCTAACCATTCCAATTGGGAAGGGGGTTCGACAAGGCGACACTATTTCGCCGAAGCTGTTCACCGCGGCCTTGCAGTGGGTGATGAAGTCACTAGACTGGGAAGAGAGAGGCATACGAGTTGATGGGAGATTCCTATCCAACCTTCGTTTTGCGGATGACATCGTCCTTTTCTCGAGCAGTATCACTGAAGCAGAGGCGATGCGAAGGAACTAAACGAAATAGGGAAGAAGATCGGACTGCGAATAAATCGGAAGAAGACTCAGTTTATGAAGAACGTTCTTTGCGAAGATGCAGAAATGGAATTGGAAGGCACCCCTATCATGGAGACGTCCTCTTACGTGTATCTCGGACGTTCGATGAACATGGAGAACGACTTGAGGGAAGAACTTAACAGGAGAAGAAGAGCAGCCTGGGCCGCCTTCGGGCCTCTGAAGGAAGCCACCGACCAACTGACGGACTTGGAGCTTCGTGCCCACCTGTTCGACTCAACCGTTCTCCCAGCGCTCTGCTACGCAGCTGAGACTTGGGCCGACACCGTAGCCACGTCGAAAGCTTTAAGGACCACCCACAGAGCGTTCGAGCGCAGTCTTCTGAAGATGACCCGACACAAGCAACATCTAATCGGACTTCGCAGCACGGATATGAGAAGAATGTCCAGTCTTCGTGACCCAGCGGAATACGTTGCGAAAGCGAAACACCGATGGGCCGGTCACATGATGAGAAGAACGGACGATAGATGGACAGTAAGAACATCTGAGTGGATTCCTCGCGAAGCCAAACGTCCTCGAGGAAGACCACCGACGAGATGGGCGACGTGTTCGTGGAACGGATGGACCAGCTGAGAAATCAGCTGGATACGATTCTCGCCCCTGGAACTCGTGGACGCAGCCACCGACGACGACCAAGAAGATCGTGGATGTCCGAAGCGAGGGACAGGGATCAATGGCAACTTCTGTACTGGGGCCCGCACGTCACGTGAGGACGGGCCATCTAAGTATCTAAGTAAGTAAGTATATCACTTTTGATGTATTAGAACGATAAACATAATTTTGTGGTAGAGCCAGTGGCGTCTTAGAATCCGTTGGGGGTGTAGGAAGGCGACAAAAAAAAATTTTTGAATGAAGCTGCGCGGCGTCAATCATGGCCACGTCCCAGAAGAAAATTTGCAAGGCTTATTTGTATTTTTAGAAAGTTAAAATACATTTGCAATTATGAACTGAGCCCTCTCCCCCTTCCCTCTCTCCCTCCCCTCCGCTCGCTGAGGGGTACCGAGTTTTTTGAATGTAGTCTGAGAAAGGCCTACTCAAATTCAATGCAGGAAGGTAACTGACGTGCTGATAACAATATCGCGCTCATTTTCGCAATAACAAGTTTTTCGGATTTTTGGGGGTTTAAATTAGCAAATAGGATGTTTGTCTACTTTTGTAACTTACCGTAACTCCGCAAGAGCCTAATTGCAACTAATATAAGCATGATAAACATTGCTAGCAAGCCGAAACCTCCCTAGCCGAATTCCATTCGAGTCTGTGATTTTGACCCTACACTAAACCTACCACGACGAAGCCGCATCAGGGCGGAATAAACGCGACATTTTAATCATCACGATAAACCCACCGACCAAACTTTATCGGAATTTTGATCTACCGTCCTACCGAACTCCACGTAAGTCCACCTTACAGAGTATTATTCATTCTGTGACTGGATTGAGTACGCTTTGCGTAAAATGTGCAAACAAGCATAGTGTTCAACACATTCACGACATATAACCCATCGGTGAGTCGTACTACGTGTCCTGCCATTTCAGACAATACGACCCGCTGGTGGGTCGTATACGCTGTGAGATTTTGACTTCTCGATTAGGATGAAAATTTTTGGGCAAAGTAAATAATTTTCGTATACATCTTTGGGAAAACTTCCCAAAAGATTAACACTTCAGTCCATAAGACCCATCAGTGGCCAGAAAATATAGGCAAACAATATTGCGAAAAATGCTCTGGTCCGAAATGGCAGCGAAAAATCGGTCCTAGTCGTCAATGTTTTTACAACTTTATACTTGTGATCTGATTAACTATTTATTACTTATTAGTACCAGGAAAATACAGGCTCAGGCTTGCTTAGGTAATCTGTGTAAAGCGAACACGAGTTTCCAGTCATAGAACTGACGATATGATACTCGTGATCAGCATGGCGCCTGAGCTAGTTACCTAGCTATCGCTTAGCATCAAACCTTTCACTACACGCATACAGTCTAGCTGAAGAGAAAGTACTCTTGAGTCTATAGTTCAACTGAAGAGATAATATTCCTATACTTTTCGTAAACTAAAAAAAGGTTCCCACGCGTCGCGAGCATTCCACCGACAGCCGTCGGTGGAATGCTCGCGAGGGGCGAGAACACGCGCCGCGCGGCGCATGCCACCGCGGAGTGCGCTATGACAGAGATCAGTGTTCATAAACAACCTCCCCCTCCCTATCATCATGTGGCTGTTCTAGCTTTCGACATTCTCGCAATCATTTCGAAGTTATTCCTTTCTTAATCATTTTTCTTCAGAATGTCTTTGGTAACGAATGCCATGCGAATCGTGTCGAAAACACGACCCACAATTCTTGCTTCTCAAGCCAGTTATCACGAAAAGGTGAGAACCTAATTTATTTTGTGATTTAAGTAACAAAGTATGATTTTAAGGTGATTGATCATTACGAACATCCCCGTAATGTCGGATCTCTTGACAAAAATGATCCATCCGTAGGAACAGGAATTGTTGGAGCACCTGCTTGCGGTGACGTCATGAAATTGCAAATTAAGGTAGGCATATTTTCTGCATATCTTACCGTAAGCAAGAGCCTTGGAATTCGAATTACGTTAAATTTTTTCTTTTTTCATTCCCAACTTTTGCATTTTTCTTGTGTATTCTTTTACAGCATGAGAAAATATGCATACTTTTATCTGTGTACGATTGTTGCTAGATTTATGCTGAGGACTATAAGTGTTTTTTTCTGAATGCAAGCTCTTATGACTTTTTAGTTGCAAGCTTTTCTCATGGAATGAGTGTTCAATATTTAGTGCAAAGCTTTAAGGCTGTTCGGTTGTTAGCTTGAAATTCTGCTTTCCGAGCAAAAGTACAAATCTTTTTGTTCGCACGCGGTAATACATCTTGAGATGCTCGTGTGAGGGCAAAATTGTTTCTCTGCTTTTCTTGTTTGTCAGAACTTATCTTGATTGCAATCAGCATCTATTGAAAAAAATGAAAAAAGATGGCAGTAATAATATTTGCTGGAGGTCTCCATGTTTAAATGATGTGCCTCATAATGCCAATACCTTTGAATGTAAGATTTCGAGACAGAAATGGTCAAATCAAGACTGACCAACTATAAACAAACGTTGATGGCTACGAAAGAGAAGTCAAACTTATATGAGGGCATATGTTTGAGTTTCAATGCTGCAATTTCCGCAATGCAAGCGCTTTCCGTAGTGTTTTCTTTTCTTTTTGCTCAGAGATAGCCCGTGCCCGTTTACAAAACCTATCAATACAAAGTATCTGGATTAGCGGAAATCAGTACTTTGATTACAGAGTGTGATATGCTAAGGAAATAACCGAAATCTCGCAGCGTTATCTTACAATGAAAGCGACAAATAACTGCACTTGTTCTGAACTAGGTTGAAACACTCCTTTTGGTCAAGCTAAGCAAGCAGCTGCTATGGTTATAGGTTGGTAATATTGGCATATTTGTTGTTTTTGTAGGCCAGAAATATCGGCATGTATGTTGTTTATCTTACCGCGGTAGTGGCATGCTTTTTATATAAAGCGAAAATGATTCTTCAATAAACTTCGCTTTCACAACATAACAGCGAATGTCGATTACGTAAATCTGTTTAGGTGGACGAAAATGGAAAGATTATTGATGCAAAGTTCAAAACTTTTGGATGTGGATCTGCTATCGCTTCAAGCAGCTTGGCTACAGAATGGATCAATGGAAAGACCGTTGACTATGCTGAAAAAATCAAGAACGATCAGATTGCTAAGGAATTGTGTCTTCCTCCAGTGAAACTACATTGTTCAAGTAAGCTGAGATTTTGTCACAGAAGTTTTCAAAAGTAAGGCACGAAATGCACATCATTACAGCTTGCTGCACAGATTTTTCTTTTCATAATTAAGCGCAATGTTTTATATCCTCCACTAAAGCAACTTAGTATGATTCAGTGCTGGCCCAAGACGCCATACAAGCAGCTTTGAAGGATTATAAGAAGAAACAAGCGAAGAAGTTGCAGTCAGCCAAGTAAAATCTCGGTTTTTGTACAGGTTGCTCCATCTTATTGTTACATGTATGTCTGTGCTGTCGTGTTGGAGTCTAGTTGTTTCTTGAGCCTGCGTTGATTAGTTGTACAAATTCACTTGGTGAGTTTTATACGACCGACTGGCGTGTCGTGTCAACACTGTATGATTCTTCTAGAAAGCTGCTATAACAACGAAATTACTAGCAAATTTTTGTAATGAAAGAACTAAGAATAAATTATTTCGTGGTTTCTTGGTAGACATACATGCACGATAGGTAAAGATGAGCGGTAGTTTTGAATAGGCAGGGGAAAATCTCACCTTCTCCTCTTTTTTGTAGTGTCTTATACCTCCAGTATGAGATAAAAGTTGACGCACGGATATTGTCACTGGCTTGCCGTCGAACTTTTTCTGTGGATAGTTTGGGAGATATTCCTGAAAATATTTCTGCTGTTCAATATGCGCAAGCTATGTATTGAAGAGTCTTCTACCTGAATAGGTTTGTCTAAATCGAGTTTACCGCTCTGTGCAAGTCTTGCTGCTATAGTCGCTGTGATAGGTTTACTAATACTTGCAATCCGCATCACCTGAACATCATATACCATCGAGGTGATTTTTCACCATGGAAGAGTATCTACGGTGTGCATAAAATAGAATCAGTCAACTGCAGAATGTATTTACTGTGTTCTCTGTACAGCGACTTCTACTTTCCACATTAGCGAAACCGAAACCATCGCGCCATACCACTCGACCATCAACGCTCACTCCCACAGAAAGTCCTGGTATACCAGCAATGACCTTAAAGAAAAATTAGTGAAATTAGTTTTGGATGTTTCACATCGAAGTCAGATCTACAAGTTTTCTATGTCATAATGTCACTCTCAAGGATAGTTTCGAGCTTCTGATGAGCATGCATCCGGATAAATAGTTCAGTAAATGTGAGTGGTAATATGTTCATTGATGCATCTTCCGCCTCAAATAGGACTTAAATTTTCCAAAAATAGCGTAAATCAATCTGTCAAGATAAACCTGTCTTAACCCCTACCCCTATGGACATAGGATTTAGTTCTAATGGAACACGAACTGACATGTTGAGCCATTGGAAGCGCTTCAATCCAACACTATCCGAGCATACCCGGTTCTTTCAGCTTAGGAAATGGACAGTTGCGATCTCAGTTGCTAAGTGCGCGTGAGAAAAGATGTTTCCGCTAGGAGCCACCCCAAATTGCTAATAAAAACAGAAAACAAATGAAAGAACTGCGAGAATCCTGCTGAGAAAGCATTCGCAGAGTAAACCCCACTTAGTACATCATCTCAACCCTGTTTCATCCTGTAGTTGCAAAATCCTCCTAGGTTAGACAACATAATAATCACCATTTGCCGTTTTATCGCTTGTTTTGCTTTTTTTCTTTTTTCTTCCATAGTAAGCGCTGCACCATAGGGACGTCGTTCATTCTTGCTTCCGTCGTCTAATAATGCTGCTTTGTTGGCACCATAGGCTAGTGCTGATGCGGCAAGCACCACAGGTCGGATAGATTTATACCATACCATCTATACATATATTCCGAAACTACAAAAATTGCATGAAACTACGATATGACAAGGTTGACCTAGATACTATTTGTGCATCATAGTTGAAATTTTATTCCATTGAAACGCTATACATCAACCCATTGACACTCATCTGTCTCGCAACTTTCAATGGATTCTACAACTGAATTGAACAATTGGTCAATGTTCCTCAGGAACTCGTCTGCCTCCCGCATGGAACGGCACTGGAATACGTAGCACTTGTACTCCGGTTCGTATTGATGAGCTTTCACTATGACTGCCACGTTGAACCTGAAATCGAGTGTTGATCAATCTTAGTCAAATTCATGACTCTTTCCATACCTGTTATCACCGTCGTTGTAAGCCACAGAGAATACAATATTCACAAGAGGTATTCGATCGACCGTAGTTGAGTCCACATCTCTGCTAATCCAAACGCCATATTTGGAGACACGCACATTTACCTTTAATCGAGCACATCGGAAATGCTTTGGGCGTTATTCCAGTATACCGACCCCAAAAATTAAAAATCTCAGATTTCGCTCAAACTCAGTATAGGGGGGTTATTCGATCCGCTGATGCCAAATATCATATCGATTCCGTGCGATAGCGCCATTTTCCAGGGGTTACGGTGGGTATACGGTAGGGGGTCAAAATCACAAAATTCTCTGAAAGTCGGTAAGAGGGGGTTATCCGACATGCTGAACACGAATACAATATTCATTCGTTACGGTAGCTCCTCATTCCGGGGTTATGGTGGGTATACGGTAAGGGGTCAAAATCACGATATCCGCTGAAACTTCGTGTAGGGGGGTTATTTGACATGCTGATCACGATTATGATGTTTATTAGTTAAGAAAGGGCCTCATTCCGACGTTACGTTGGGTATACATTACCAGTACCACCGCTAGATCGAGATTCAGGGCCTGAATCTCAGTCGCACGTCGGAAACTTCCTTCCCCCGCTTTGCTTAGGCAAAAGCCGCCGCAGGGTGTATCGCGCACGGCGGTGGGTGTGGAAAGCAGTGAATTGGACCCTCCTACAGTATGCCCATCGTAACCCCGGAATGAGGTGCTACCGTAACGAATGGATATCATATTCGTGTTCAGCATGTCAAATAACCCCCCTGCACCAAGTTTCAGAGAATTTTGTGATTTTGACCTCCTACCGTATACCCACCGTAACCCCCGGAAAATGGCGCTATCGCACGGAATCGATGTGATATTCGGCATCAGCGGATCGAATAACCCCCCTATACCGAATTTGAGCGAAATCCGAGATTTTTAATTTTTGGGGTCGGTATACTGGAATAGTACCATGCTTTGTTCCAGTTACTTCACTTTTACGATACACATGATAGTGTTAGCTGATATTTATGCCACAATCACAATGCTACAAGTTTGGTAGGTGCCAGAGTAAGCGAATATTTTGTTCAAGTTGGGGTCCCGCGCAGAACTGGCATCACTAATCATTGTGGCATAATGCCAACTTGGCGTTGTGCCACAATGATTAGTGATGCCAGTTCTGCGCGGGACCCCAACTTGAACAAAATATTCGCTTACTCTGGCACCTACCTTTTGACTACCACCAAACACCAACAAATAAACTAAGTACCTGAAGGCGTTCGGCTATCTTGCATTCCTGAATAGTACTCATGGAACAAAGAAGTTGATTGATGTCAAGGAATCTTACCACTCAGACCTTGGCACGCGTTCTGCCACTAAGGAGTGAGACTGGAGAGCGAATTCTCTTTGGGTGTAAAATTCTTAACATTCTGAGAGGATGTCTAGCTTCTTGTCTTATCTTCTGCTTTCGCACTTGCGCAGTGTCGTTATCGAGGGCGTCCACTTCACTATGGAATAAATGGGGAATCACTGTATCCAAGTTTAACCGTAATCACATCATAGGTCATCATCATCAGGCATTGTGATTGTGATCAGCATACCTATCGTTCCTTCAACAATTGCTGCTACCCCTAACATGCGTCTCTGACATGCAGCAGGCATGGCGACATGTTAGCAACATGCAACAACATACTGGACTAATAGCGAAGATGTTTTACCAACATGTTGTTGCATGTTGCCCAGGTTAGCCATGCGTGCCGCAGGCAGAGACGCAGAGCAGGGGTAGCGGCAATCGAAGAGACGATAGGTACATAGCCTACGTGTGTAAACTTACAAGGAAACGATACTCAATGTCCGTGGCTTTTTGAGACGAGATGTACACCATTACACTCGTTTTCGAACGCTGATTCCGAATCTGACTTCCCTTCTGCTAATCGTTTCTCTGAAAGAAGTTATGAAGGAATTTCGATCCAAGTTTGGCCGCTTGAGGGAAATATGGTCATTGGAACGGCCTCTACTGCGACCACGTTCTGGTCTAATGGTTAGTGCGATAGCCTCATAAGTTGATGTAGGTTCAAATCCTTTGCGTTTTTACTTTCGCATTACTTTTGCCTCAATTAAGCTTGTTCGAGAAAGTTTACTCGAATTATGACCATTGAATACATTTTAGCGCAAACAGTAGTAATTTTTTCCAAAATTCCACATTTTTTCAAGAGTAAGGGCGTTCACTCAACTTGAGGATGTGAAAGAAGGTTAATTGAGACAACGCAAAACTAAAAAACACAAAAGGACTCGAACCTAGAGCTGCATCAACTCATGAGGCTATCGCACTAACCACTAGGCCACAACGCACCTATGCCGTTGGCGCTCCGACAAATTTTCACTGGGCAGCCAAACTCTGCGCGATCCATGATAACATCTTTGGAGCGATTAGCAGAAACGGAAGTCAGATTCGGAATCAGCGCTCCAAGACGAGTGTAATGGTATACATCTCATTTCAAAAGGCCACGGACACCGAGTATCGTTCCCTTGTTAGTCCTACAGGCGATTCCATGACACGCAAAGACTGAGCGCCATTGCGTCAGACCAAGATAAATCGTGCATGGGAGAGACAGCAGATGGTAAGAGAAACGAGATAACGCGCGATCAGAGAAACGTCTACGTCCATAGTTTTGCGTGCTACGTATCGCCAGCACCATTTTTTCGCCGTTTTGAGAAGGGGAATAGAATAACGTCAAAGAGCTTTATGTATTTGGTTACTTAAGTGTGGACGAGCCCAGCTTCTACTATAGGTTAGACATCACAGGGCACCTAACACAATAGGCGGAGCCGTGGACATTGGGGTCAAATAAGAAAAGTAATCATTATGGGTTCAAAAAATGTGAGCAGTAAATATAATAAGCAAAAACTAAGCATTAAAATACTCTCACCTTTTGCAATGCATCGGCTTCCACAGGCAGCATCCCATCTAATTGAGCGTTTTCTATTTGATCGATGACATTCTCTTCATTGGAGCGTTGAAACTCGTGTGCAGCATTATTAGAGTAACCGAAGCGCTCGTAGAAACGTACTTTAGTATCTCCTAAGTATGAAGTTGACAAAGAAAAGTCCATCGGAACCATGGTTCGAGAACTCACAAGTGCGAATTTCTGCTTACTGTATCGCCTGCGACGCAAACCTGCGGTTGTACATAATTCTCATCCGCTGCGATGACTATTCGGATTCAAACGCTTTCTTCAGTCGCATATGCATATTTGACTTTCTTCCAAACATTTTCAGCTAAAAACAACTGGGTACAATCTTGCTTTCTTGATCTCTAACTTTCTATTGTTTTAGGTGATGTTTTTAACGCGGAGTGAGTATGATCGTGGAGTAAATACTTTCTCTCCCGAAGGACGTCTGTTCCAGGTGGAATATGCAATAGAAGCTGTCAAGGTGTGTTCATCGGAAAGTTTACATTGCAGGTTATTACTTTGTTTTAGCTTGGATCAACCAGTATCGGCATTCGCACCAACGAGGGCGTCCTTCTAGCTGCTGAAAAACGATCAACTTCGAAGCTGATGGTCAATGATGCCATTGAAAAGATTAGCAAGGTCGATGAGCATGTTGGTAAGTTTTCTTAAAAATCTCTTTTGAAAACATTCATTGAACTCCTTTGGCACGCGCCGTACTTTATCCCCTTGATTCGCTTGATCTGCTTCGTTCACTTCGCTATTGGTCAAACCACAAACCGACCAATGGCGAAGTTGATGAAGCGGATCAAGCGGATAAAGTATGGCAGGTGCCTTTCTTTTCCGCTCTAAATTACCATGAAAAACCTTTGCAAACGTTTCTCACAATTCATTGCGGAAACGAGACCAAGATCTTTGTAGTCTAAACAAAGATAAAGTTTTGTTGTTCAGTGGCTGTTGAGGAGATGTGTACGCTTTCTACTCAATGGCCGAAGAGCTTTTGCGAATAAGTCCAGACTACGTTGTATTTTGCATGTGAAACTAGCCGCGTGTTGCTTAACAGCTTCATTGCTGCAAAGGCGTTATCGCTTACGTATGTCAGGCTGCAGAAGTGCTGAACTCGCCTGTGCCCACCGCCACCTATACCTCCCAGAACCTGCTAGCTTCGGGTGATCAGGCGGCTAACGGTGGGTAGGCGGGTTCGAGCGCGGAGAAGCTTGCCATTGGATGGTGGAACGACCTCAGACCGTGATAATAGTTGGTGCGTACCCTGGTGTTCCTTCTAAGGCTCAACTTCGCTGAAAAGTGCTCAAAAGCACTCAAAAGCGCCAAACAGTTACGAACTCCCCTTCGCGAGTAAAAAACGAGTAAAAACATCTCCCCTCTAGTTCTGGAACTTCGTTGGTTCATCGTTTAACGCTGCGCTCACTTTTATCGTGGATAGGTAACTGTGTCATCCGTCGGAACTCCAGAAGAGTCTCGATGATGATTTGAAATGCACCGAAGTTTTCTATTTTCGCAACTTAGCAATAAATTGTCAGTAATCGCAGAACTCGTAGATAAGAACAACAGTAAGAGAAAACCAGACAACAAATAATATAGACATTACAAAGAAGCGATATCTTACCATATATGCTGGTCTGTAAGCATTGAGGGAACCTACTAGGATGATCTTACCTAGTGTGTAATATTGAGTTTGCTTGCAAACCTTCGCCCCCCAGTTTGTTTTAGAAAAGCAAGAATACTGGTTCATGATACATGTGAGTGCCTGTAACTAGATATTTTATTATTTCACGGTGTTTTCGAGACTTGCGCTTCAACGCCACTAAATGCGCGCAAGCAGGACGTTCTGGCGCTCTGGCGCTGTGAGGCGCTGTGAAGTGCTTTTCGGCGGTCTGACGGGACCAAGACGACACCTATCTTGAGAACAGATAATTTGATAGACCTTTTTGTAGGAGACGGTCAAGAGGCGCGATTTCTCTGGCTGTCACCAATTCAAAACTCAAGTTTAGGGCTACGCAAGTCTTCAAAAAGCACAGACAAAATACATTGGCTTACTAGTCATCTAGATTTACCACTTGCTGAGTTTGAAGGCTTTCGCTGAAAATCCGACCAAAATAAATACAAATTTGTTATTAATTGCATTTTTATGGGTTTTTGACCTTCAACATCTTCATTTTGAAACGCTTTTGAGATAGTAAGAATGGACAACTCGTGCAACCATCTGATATATCTCCCCTAAACTCTAAAATACTCCCAGAACCTCATAAAACACTTATATGCTATTTGCTGTCCAGCTGGTAATAAAAATCGCGCCTCTTGACATACACCCCCTTTTTGTAGTCTCTCATGACTTTTCCGAATGTTCGAATCGTTACTGAAGACGAAAAAAGCAAATACTTTGCAGTTCTTTATGGTGTATTTTGAGTTGATCCAAGATTGTTAGAGTATTTTTGTACAGGCTGACGTTTCGGCGTCTCTGAAGAACGAGACGCCTACACATCATGTGCAGTAAGTACTCTCGTAATAATTTTGGTTAGACACAAAGCTATTATATAACACATATCCAACAATGCCAAGAGCGTCGACAGAATCATCGCATAAAATACTTTGCAGTTGTTCCCTGGCATTTTCTCATGTCAGCTACGTGTAAGTACAGTCGCTTCATTTCGTATGATCATGTGTGTCATTGCACACACAGTTCACCTCTGGCGTCCCCATCCTGGATTCGTGGGAGAAACAAGCCTTCATGTAAGTGTTTCCAAGGTGTTCTTAGCATTTTCTTTCCTTTTTAGTTACTAGTCACCTCAAATTGATGTAATCGATAACAATTGGTAAGTCTCTTGCGTTTTTGCGATTGCAAATCCAGGATGAGGACGCCAAAGTGGACTGTGTGTGCAATGGCACACATGATCATATGGAATGAAGCGACTGTAAACAATTGAATGCATATCTTACAAGGGAAGGATACTAACTTAGATTCGCCTTTTGAGATGAGACGCATATGTTTAGAATCAGCTTTGAACGCTGATTCCAAATATGTTGTTCCTAGCTGCTTAGCTTTATTCCGGGGCGAGTTATGGGCTTGGCGTTGTGAAATTAAAAAACTTTTGAATGTCGTAAAACGGCGTAAAAGTAAGAATCTGCTCGAAAAAAGTGCTAGGAGTTGAACTAGCATCAGATTAATTCTTTCGATCTTGAAAGGGAGCATTATACAATTGCAAAACCACCTAGACGTCGACACCGTACCATCCGTAGCTCGAGGAGCACGCAAACTTAGCCTGTAAAAGAGACCATAGCTCGCTCTAGAATAATGCTAAGCAGCTAGGAACAGCATATTTAAAATCAGCGTTCTAAGCTAATTCAAATATATGTGTCTCATCTCAGTAGGCGAATCTAAGTTAGTATCCTTCCCTTGTTAGTGTATTAGCAGATCCTCATTTGGCTATGCAGTAACCTTTTGACGTTTTGCCATGGTTCATGGACTAGGCGTGTCATTGCGTGCAGAGATAGGGCGACACTGCGTACTGCTGTCGACGTCTCTCCCATCAAGCGCGCTATAATCACCCTTATTGTCTGCAGTCTCCCGTAATTACAACTTGTCGCAGTTGGCTGCTGCAACGGCGTCCCTGTGGGTGCGGTAAATTGTCTATATATTATCGGCGATCAGAAATCTCCTCAACAATCTAATTTTCTTGCTATTCCATATAAGAACCGTCTAAGATCAAATTGTCCGCAAAAGTCCAGTCTTCATTATTCGAATAGTAGTTGTCTCCGGATCTGCATGGCGATTAGGAACTTTGAGAGAAGATTGCTGCATAAAAATATCTGACGAAAATGAAATAATACCTCGTTATAGGGGTAACATTCGCTGGTCTGATCGCTGATTCTCGAACCTTAGTCGAGCGTGCTCAGGTGGAGGCACAAAATTACTGGTTCACTTACAATCGCAAAATCCGCATCGAAGATGTGACTCAGTCCGTTGCTAATCTAGCGCTTGAGTTCGGTGACGACGATGTGAAGGTGATTTTCAGAATTTCAAATGGAAAGAAGATGTTGTTATTCTTTGCTATGATTCGGGAAACCATTTAGGCATCGATGTCCAGACCCTTTGGAGTTGCTATGCTATTTGCGGGTGTAGATCAAGATGGCTCAAAATTGTTTCACCTGGATCCGTCGGGTACTTTCATTGATTGCAAAGCTAAGGTTAGTTGTCATCTCAAATCATTCAAAGTTTACTCTTCGAATAGGAATCAACGGATCTGAGACTATCGAGTTTGTTCTCATTATGGGCATTTCGAGTACTGCGCATCTTACTACCTGGAGCCCACATCGTGAAATTATTCATACGTGCGTTGCTGAGTTTGCTCGGCAGTGGACTGATATTCAACCTATCTTGCTAATGTGTACTTGATGCTCCCACACGTACTCGCCCGCTTTGATTTTGTGAAATTTTCCAAATCAGTAACTTGGATACGCCTCTAAATATTATGAAATGGCACTTTTTCGTCTAGTGCTGGCGACCAGAGCTAAATGGCAGTTGAGAGAATGTCTAAGTTTGTCATCATCCTCGATAATTGTTTGTTTCAGTCAATTGGCGCTGCAAGCGATGGTGCTGAGCAAAGTCTGAAAGAACAATATCATGACGTGCGTTATCCCCAATGATTTCGTTAGATAGATGTATCGTTCCCTCTCTACTTTAGAACATGTCACTGAAAGAAGCTCTGAAGGTTGCATTGGCAATCCTGAAACAGGTTATGGAAGAAAAGCTAAACAGTGCCAATGTTGAAGTCGTAGTTATAAAACCTGTGAAGGATTCAAAATGTGAGTTTGTCGTTACTTGTAAGTGGACTCTTTGGAAAGCATACAGCCTCTTGACTACAAAAGAAAACAAAACGGGAAGGGTTCATACACACCTATTGTGCATTGGTTAGAGAGACAAAGTATGATCGAATCACATTTCATCTTTTCACGGTTAGTGTTTTACTGAGATCTGCTATTGTATCCATTGTTCAATATGTCGAGGCAGCAGACAATCAGCTTCAAATTACGTAACTATCCATTATGAATATTGACATTATATGCCGGAAGGCGTGATGCTAATTGTGGCATATTGTGCCACTCAAAGGCAAAAGAAGCTTTCCTCTTAAATACTACGCAGAACAGTGGATGAAAAAGTCGTACAATCTTCTGATTCAGTGCAATTCTTATCCATATGCTGGCGTTGAGTGTACGAAACTCGAAACGATGTATTGTAAGATATATTGGGCTAAGCGCTTCGCTGTGCATAAAGCATGCAATACCAATGAATTTGACTAATAGTTGCATTCCTTTTTTTTCATTTGACCGTTCCTTCTCTCGTGCTGAAAATAACGACCAAAGTTCAAGTACGGAAAGTGAATCGTATCTTTCCTCCAGTAGTACTTGCGAGTCAAACTACACATCTTCTGAAGATCTACTTTGATGAAAATAAACATAATATTCGTTGCAATATCAACATTGACTAATAAACAATATTATAAATACTAATAATTTATAATGATGATGGTCTGGCAATATTCATACTGGTTGCGAAATATGTTGGACGAATCTCATTATGCACTTCTAACATCGTAACATGTCTTGTACTTTTTACGAAGGCTACTGCAGGACAAAGGAGCAGAAGCAGTACTAGTTGAGTGGGTGCGAACGCGACGCGCGCACGCATTATGCGCTCTGCGGCTAGTAAATCCGAGTTTGCGCCCTAGGCCCTGGCCAGACTTCGCTCAAAAGCGCCCAAAAGCGCCCAAAAGCGCGCAAAAGCGCTCAGACTTCTCTAACCTCTCCTCACTCTCTCTCATCTCTCCTCACACAAGAAAGTGAAGAGACACCAGAGAAATTTGGGCGCTTATGAGCGCTTTTGGGCGCTTTTGAGCGCTTTTAGGCGCTTTTGGGCGCTTTTGAGCGAAGTCTGGCCAGGGCCCTAGATATTTCGCCTTTGTCATTCAGTAGCCTATAACTCAGAAAATGCGATTTGCTAATACTCGGCGAAGAGTCACGATGCTTGATTAATATCGGTATCGCTGTTTTGTACCATTTTGTCGAAAACCACCAAGCGTTTTGGTATTTATTCTTTGTTTGTTTTTGATAACTTCTTCGTCTAAATTATGTCGCGAACCTTCATTTATCGTTTTGTGCTTTGTTTGAGTAAGACTTGTATAAAACAAATCATCAATTGCTCCCGTTACTGTAGGAAAACGTCACTCAAGCGGCTTTACCCCGGTACGATTTTTTCTTGTCAGAAAAGTTCAAAAAGTGTATAGATGCTGTCACCCACATAGATTTAGCGTGTATGATATCCAAATTCTGTAGATTTTTTGGAACAACTATCAAACTGGAATGATATCTACGAAAATCCCCGCGAAATGGGATTTTCGTGCGAATAAAATGGACTTAGTCCATGCTGTGCGATAAGATATCGCATTCGCGAATCCATTCATTCCATACAAAACTTCTTCAGCAAACCTTTTTTCAACTTGCCTCAACCTGTTTACTCACTCTTGCAAACTCATTTCCACCAAGTGGTCGATATCTGACTAGGCTGTCCTATGAACAGAAAATTCACGAAAAGCCAGTTTTGCTAACATCACTCTTGAAATACTATTAGGTTGTCAAGAAAATAATGTCGTTTTTTATTCGCTTGCTTTAACAGAGCAACCAGACTCAACCCAACAAAGGGTAATGGATATTGTTCGATAGAGCAAAGTAAGCTCTACAAGATGGCGTTCATAATCTTGCGTCAAGCTCGATCCACGGAATGTTCGAACTCAAAATCTGAAGATATCCAAATGCCCAAAAAATCGAAAAAAATCAGATCTTCGTCCAAATAATTTCTACGGACCTCCCACTCGCACACTTCAATACTTTCGATATATGATATCCATATGTGCAGTTGGTGTATTTTTTCCTTGACTACAAACTGAGAAAACAAAAATTTTCGTGTTTTTCTAAATGCAATGCTGAGACGTTCTTGCATATGTAATTCTATACTACAAGTTTAGGTAAGTATAACTACAGATTTTCAGCCTATTTCGAGCGGTAGTTTTCGAGAAATGTTGCTTTTAGCACTGAAACTGAAAAGAAGAAAGCTGTTTTCGATATTTCTCGAAAACTACTGCTCGGAATGGGCTGAAAATCTGCAGTTATACTTACCTAGGCTTGTAGTATAGAATCACATATGCAAGAACGGCTCAGCATTGCTTTTAGAAAAACTCGAAAATTTTTGTTTTCTCAGTTTGTAGTCAAGGAAAAAGTACAGCAACTGCACATATGGATCTCATATATCGAAAGTATTGACGTGTGCGAGTGGGAGGTCCGTAGAAATTATTTGGACGAAGATCTGATTTTTTTCGATTTTTTGGGCATTTGGTTATCTTCAGATTTTGAGTTCGAACATTCCGTGGATCGAGCTTGGCGCAAGATTATAAACGCCATCTTGTAGAGCTTGCTTTGCTCTATCGAACAATACCCATTACCTTTTGTTGAGTTGAGTCTGGTTGCTCTGTTAAAGCAAGCAAATAAAAAACGACATTATTTTCTTGACAGCCTAATATTAGATTGCTGCATAAGTTCTGTTCGATTTTTTTTTGCCTTGTGTTTGAAGCAGCTGTTCTGAGAGAATTTCATCTCTAATGCGGTACTGTTAGTATCGTTGGAAAGTGCTTTTCTTGCGCTTCCTAACGCATATGAAAATTCAATAAATTTCTTAGTGTAAGGAGATTTCAGGCCTATAATATCCAAGTGGCCGATACGTTTTCCCCCTGGAAATTTGCTCTTGCGAGCAAATCTCCACAATGCGCCCTTCAAGTCAAGTTCTTTCATTGGCCGCCAAATAAGGGTCTAAAAGGCTAATATATGCAGAAGCTCGGTTCTATGAAGAAAAGGTCTTGCTAGTAAAATTTATCGTCGAACATTGATCTTTTGTATAGGTGTTTTACAAGCAATAACTTTCTGCGAATAGAAGTAATCGATGAGTTCAATGCTGGAGGTGTTAGGGTAAAACAAGAGTTAGCAGGGTCCATCCACCAATTCCTTTTCGGCGCTCGCGTCATTGTAAAATTTTCCAATTCGTAAATAGGCATGCACACATGCGCTGAAGCGAGATCAAAAAGTGGCTTCTTTTTTGCTCGGTCGAAAAAATCTCTCGGCAACTCAGACTTTAGGTGCCCCTGTATGTTGCAAAATAATCTACAAAAATTTCTTTATCTATCCATTATTAGAAAAGATGCCTATTTGTTCTCATAGGGGAGCATTGCCATGTCAAAAAAGACAGGTTTGAAGAAAAACGCTGCGAAGTTTTTGAGTTCTTGCTTCTTCCTTAACAAGGATTTTCGCAGGCCTCAATATGTATCTGATAGCCAATGAACTGCTCAACACATTGATACTAAGATCTTGGAAAAAAGTTGACTCTGAAAGAAGTTATGACATTTTGAACTCGAAAAATTCAAATCGGACAGAACTTATCTTTGATTCAACTGGTTGAGGCCCGCCAGGGCAGGCTGCTCGCGCCCGCGACGCACCTGCGTCTCTCGCGCGCCAGTGCTCTCTGATCATTACCTAGCCTTAATTAGGTCACGAAGCCGCGCCTTTGCCGAACCTCACCCAGTTGAATCAATTGCAGCTTGTTGGCAAATTGTCCGAAAATCAATGTTTTGCAGCGAAGGTTCAGCATATTAGCAACGCGAGATTGTGTAATGCCCCGCCTTCACAATCTATTAGTTGTTGTATGTAGGCATGTACTACCCATCCAAAAGTGGGTCTATCAATTATTCTGTTGAAAAGTCAGGGTTTAGAAACTTGCGAAAATTCAGTGCCCGAATTACTCTGTTTAGTTTATCACAGCATGATGGCTGCTGCAATATTTCTCTTCTAGACATCTTTCCTTGTATTTCGTCATTCAGGTCGTCAAGTTGGTTCATTCGAACGCATCACTAATGCTGAGCTGGACGTTGTCATCTCGACTTTGTAACCTGGATTTTTATCAGTTGGATAATAATATGCCGAACAGTGGAGTCTTGATTATCGATAATTTTATGGTCTCTCTATGTAACAATAAATTAATGTTGACAAAAGACAGTTGAAATTTCCATTACTGTTGGTGGTCGTAACTATACACGGTCATGAGTCTCTTTTTAAGCTCTCGAAAACGGAGTTCCTTGCCTTCAAATCCTTGAATCGTTGTTTGATCAAATCCATGCACCTGTCTTTGCCAAACGTGCGATAGGGGGGATTATGGCCTCCCCAGAGTGGAGAGGGTCATAGGAATCTCAAACCTCCAGAAGAGAGTGTTAAGGCCGCGGGAAGGTGGAGGGGGAGGGGGACGTGTGATGGGCCGCCGCTGGCTGCGTCGATCGAGGGGGGGGGGAAGGAGCTGCGCATAGGCGTCCGTGCATCATTAGAATTGAATTTACTAATATCTTGATTTTTGATATTATTATTATAGAGGTACGTCGGAGAAGTTGCTGTTGACTGCTAATTACATTGAAGACTTAGGATTAGGATCATTTTTACTGTCAAAATGCTAGAGCTACAAAGATCCTGGAGTCGACAGTTCGACTTGGACAGACAGAAGCATGAACCAGCCAGCATGTGTTTTCCCACGTTGAAGCACTACATGAGAAGCGGAGGACAACAGCATATGGTAAATGGCGCTTGAGTTTGTTTTCAATCGAGGAAAAGTGAAAAACGTGAATGATCTTAGGAGGAGAAGTCAGTCATCATTGAGTTGAAATTTGTCAGTAGATCTAGTGATGGAAGAAGTTGTAGGGGGTCAGTCGTGATAGACACTATAAGAGTGCGCCATAAATTTACAGGCCTTCAACGTCTGAAGATTGTGGACAAGCATAGCACCGGATTAGGCTGTTGTCCACCTTGAGACCGCGTACGGATATGAAGTAACAGATATTACAACTAGTGGAAAAAATGGAACATGAATTCTACAGCGATACAAGATTGAATGAAATAATTCTTTCTAGTGGGAGGATAGGAGACTGGAAAGTCACGATTAAGTCTGGTTTTCGACAGCTGTCAGAAAACAGCTTACAGGAAAAAGAGATTCCTAACGGGTGAAAGTGGTGGTTGTCGCTTTTCTGGAGGGTTATTGGTTTCTCGTCAAATCATAATTTTCGAATTACATTTCCATATGAGAGACTAGTAGAGTGTTTAGCTATTCACTGGAGTTCTCTCGTCATCAGATTTTCAGAAAACATATAGGCTGTGGGAAGACGAATGCTAAGAATACCTGGGGAAAGTGGTGGTGGGACATGGTATAATAAGCATAATCAGGGTCGAGCGTGGGATGTGGCACGCCACACCTGGGGGGGGGGTCGTATTGAGGAGTCAAAAGGGGAGGGGGTCGTAGTTGGGTAATCTGTTATTAGTGATAACATGATATTCGTATCATATCCATAATTAGCATGTCAATTAACCCTTGTAGACAAAGTTTGAGCGAATTCTGAAGATTCAAGATACTAGACTACCTAAATGAAATGGTCATATTCCAACATGGTTAACTTTGTTTCAAAGGTGAATTAGCCATCCGTTTTTGCACTCAAGACAAATCACTACTCCTTCTTTGTCCACCTCAGGAATCCCGCTTCGAAAGACCTCCGAACTGTGGAATTAGAAGCCAACCAAAATCTCATTTTTCTCATTTTTCGCTTTCAATGGCTGTGCTTCCGCCAAATATTACTCACAAGGGAAGGTCGCTGGGTCGAAGTGGCGATTCGAAAGGAGACCTATACTAATGGATAGAGCTTAAAACGCTGATCTCAGATTTACCTTCAAAATCTGCGACACGTTTTTCTAGCTGGAGTTATGGGCTTTTTCGCATATATAGAAGTGTGATCTAGAAAGGAAATGACGATCTGTGGATAAACAGCAGCTCGGAAAACACTCGAAAACATTCGGATGAATTTGAATTGGACCTACAATGCTTTCTAGGTGGTTCACTTAAGCTTCCACTTTTGTGTAGACATTATCAAAATTTTGCGACTCAAAATGCACGAAAATTTGGCATTAGAAAAGCTCATAACTTTTTTCAGAACAATGCATCGCAGATATAGAAGGTATATCTGAGATCAGCGTTTTAAGCTCTATCCATTAGTATACATCATCTTCCGAATCGCCACTTCGACTAAGCGAACATTCCTTGTCAGAGCTAGGAAGACGAATCAGGCTTAAAACACTCCTATGGAATCTACGAGTTTAGGCTATCGATTCATTTAATTACTGTTCGCTAAAAATGCTTTTTTTGATATAGTTAATGGGGTGTGGCACACCCCCTTAAAAGCTGTGGCAGCCACAGCTTTTAAGGGGGTATGCCAAACCCCATTAACTATGTCATGAAAACATTTTTGGGAAACTGTATTTATGTGAATCGATAGCCTAGATCTCCTAGTTTTCACAGGAGTGATTTGAGCCTGATTCGTTTTCTTTGCTCTGAGTAATAGTTGGTGAAAGCACAGCCATCAAAAGCGGAAAATGGGAAAAACGTGCTTTTGGATGACCTCTAATTTCACAGTTTGGAGGTCTTTTGAAGCGGAATTTCTTAGATGGACAAAGAAGGACTAGTGCTTTGTCTTGAGTGCAAAAACGGATAGCTAATTCACCTTTGAAACAAAGCTAATCATGTTGGAAAGTGACCATTTCACTTAGGTAGCTTAATATCTTGAATCTTCAGAATTCGCTCAAACTTTGTCTACAGGAGTTAATTGACATGCTCATTATGGATATGTTGCCCATTAAGTTTGAAAGGGTAATGCTAATGGGTAATGCTATCTTAGGTATATAATTCAGGGTGGGGGGGATATTATTTTAAGACAGCAGTCAGGGGGGGGGGGTCGTAACCAGCGATCGTGTGCCGCACCCCTTGCTTGATTCTGGGTATAATCCTTTGTGCCCTCTAAAAACTTTGTTCTAAGACTCTAAAGGAACATATTTATAACATGTCCTCCACTTACACCAAGTACTTCTATCGTCCTTCCCACAACCTATATAGTTTCTGAAAGCGGACGACGAGAAATCCAGTGAATAGCTAGAGACTCTCCTAGCTTCTCATATAAATAAGTTACATTTTTTCGTAGTAAAATACTTCAATACTTTACTTCAAAAAAAAAAAAAACAACTACTACGACCGTATTTCTTTATTCGATAAAAACCCTCTTCCTGGCAAGCTGTATGTTTTCTGAAAGCGCGTAAAAGCTACCTAGACTTGCAATGCCTTTCCTGTCTCCATATACTCCTCCTACTAGGTCATTATCATTTTTATCCTGTAACTCTGTAAAATTTGTGCTTCCTTTATCCCTTTGTTTTGATGTTTGTCACTTCATATAATCTGCACGCAGTCTCAGAGTGGAGAACAGCCTGATCCAGTGCTATACTTATTCTCGATCTTTAGGCAAGATGGCGGCCTGTAAATCTATCACACATTCTTACCTAGTCTAACATAGCGAGGAGGAGCATCAGCAAAAAGTTTACCGCATATTTTTAGCCTTTTGTCACCAGATGCGATATGATTACAGCGATTGATGGAGCAGATTCTTGAGATGAAAACGCGAGTGCACGATTTGGTAGAAATTTTGGAATTGAAAACTTGCATGTGAGTGATAAGTGGTGCTCGGTGATTTTTCAGCACTATTTGGGTAAAAAATATCCTTGCAACTTTAGGATTCGATTTCATCGTGTTTCCTCAAGTCAGATCACAATTGCCAGTGGCAGTAGAAGCCGCTCTTACCGGGTTATCCAGTTACGGTCGCGTAACACATCGTTTGATCAACCATCGTGGTGTTGACTGGACAGTAGATCTAAATTATTTCACTTACTTGGGGTGAAACACGTGCAAGACCGCTCACTTTCACTTTCATGACACGTCTGTTACGATAGTGCTCTCAATGTATCACCGGCGCATCGTATTTACTCCTTGAGCACAGAAGCATGCACCGTTCCGAATCTGATGGATACATTGAGAGCACTATCGGGACAGACGTGTCAAAAAAGTGAAAGCGGTCTTGTACGTGTTTCCCAAGCAAGTAGAATAATTTAGATCTGCTATCCAGTCAATCTGGAAAAAAATGTAGGTCAGCTTAGATTGTACAGGGCTTATTAAACGCAGTGTCGCTTGCATCAGCACATCTCCACTTCCGCGCTGGACTCTGCATCTTTTCCGCGAATATGCTCTCTTATCACTTCTTATCGATTGAGGGTCCGCCTTTCCCACGCCCGCCCTGGGAAAGCGATCAGAGAGCATGTTTGCGGAACACATGCGGATTCCTTCGCGAGAGTGGAGATGCTGATGCAAGCGGCACTGCGTTTGATAAGCCCTGTACCATGTGGCGGATTTAGTAGGGATATGAAGGCGTACTCAAACTAAATTCTTGGCTCCCATTACATCGTACCATATTCAATGCTGATGAGCAATGTGAGTGCGCTCCACGAACTGAGCAACGTTGATGAGTGCAGTACATTATCATCCACTCATCTGTGCAAGACAAGTCGGCAAGTTACATGCGGTTTACATTTTGTCAATCAAAATGGTTGCACTGTGGTCGAGCGCAATTCCACCAATGATGAAGCGAGTTTTAGAAACTTATCCGTGCTACAAGGAATGTTAGAGAATCATAGTATGCATGTTTTAGTTCACGCTGATCGTCCCACCTTTGAAGACAGTGTGGTGATTATGCGAATGAAACGCATGTTCTATAAATAACGAGACAATGAAGCGCTCAAAATTGAGAAGCCTATAATCGTGGTGGAATTACCGGAAAAAGCAGAACTGCGTATAGGTTCAATGAAGTTAGCTTCGCGGGGAAAGATAGGTATGACTATGGAATTAACGATAGCTTCTATTGGAGAATATATTATTTACCTTTACCATTTGAAACTACACGCGCTTTTATAATTTTTAGTCAAATCATACGCCTACGAAGCCGGGTAATCAGCAATGAAGAGCGCAACCAGAGTTTTGCAGATGATGGATGCAAGTACAGCAGAACATTTCCTATTTTATTTATCTATATTGTGCTAAGTTTGTTATTTTTGCTATTTTTCATCACCACCGTCAATTGCATAGGCT